CTTTCTTACTGTTTTTAAGTCAGATGTGCTTGAGGCTGGGCACTCGGGAGGCTGAGTCGGAAGTGTCCTGGGCAGCCACGGCTGAATCAGCAAGTTTGTGTCCAGCCTGAACTATGAGACACCCTGTCTCAGACAGAAGCAACAAAGACAAAAGGATACACTATAAAAGATACTGTTCAAAGTCTCTTTTAGCACTAGGCACCTGTTTAGAAAGAACAAAAATTAAAGGAGCCATACCTGGTGGCTCACATTTTATAATCCACTCTAGAAGCTGAGACAGAAAGCTCTGAATTCAAGGCCAACCTGAGCTATAAAGTGGGATTCCAGAAAGTAATTAAAACCTGAAAAATAGGGTCAGGGGTTAAGAAAGCATACTGCTCTTGAAGAGGACCTGAGTGGACAACTCACAGATAAATACCTGTGACTACAGCTCCAGGGGATTTGGCATCTGATCCCTGCAGATACCAAATGTACTGTACATATGCACACACAATTAAAATTAAAATCTTTTAAATATACGTATTCCATGAAATAAACTTTTCAGTTTAGGCCAGAAATGGCTTCCTGTAATCTAAGCCCTCAGGAGGAGGAGGAAGCAGGAAAATAGCAAATTCCAGGCCAACCCTGGCTAATGGTGGTGAGACTATCTCCAAACAACAAAACAAAAATCAGGCAAGCCTTTAACTCCAGCATTTGAGCTGCAGGCCAGCCAGGGCTACACAGTAAAACCCTATCTCAAAAAACGAAACACAAAGAAAGAAAACTTCCTCAATTTAAAGAAACAAAATGTATCCAATCCTAGAAAAATGGTTTAAATTAACACCCATTAAGAACCAAGACACTTTGACTTTGAAACATATTTGGCATGAGGCTACAGAAGGGCTCGGTGGTTAAGAGCACTAGTTGCTATTCCAGAGGACTTGGGTTCAATTCCCAGAATCCACAAGCATCTGTTTCTCCAGTTCTAGGACAAGGACATGACATACATGCAGGCTAAACACACATACACATAAAACAAAAAGAGTTATTAACACAAACCAAGCCTGGCAAATTTACAAGCCAAAGCACAACCAAGTTATTTCTCTAGTTCTAGTTATACTTCTGGTTTGTTGCTTTTGAGGTAAGATCTTACTCTGTAGCCCAGGATGGCCTCACACTCACAGTAAGCCTACTGCCTCAGCCTCCTGGGTGCTAAAATTACAGGAATCCTGAATCAAAAAGATTTTTTAAATAGCAGGATTTTTGTGAGGCTATGGTGGGGAATGCCCTTAAATCCCAGCCGTTGGGAGACAAAAACAGGCTGATCTGAGTTTGAGGTCAGCCTGGTCTACAAAACAAGTTCCAGTACAGCCAGAACTACACAGAGAAACCCTGTCTTGAAAAACAAAAAAACAACAACAACAACAATAATAATAATAATAATAATAATAATAATAATAATAATAAAAAAACAAGTTTTTTGCCAGGCATTGTAGTACACACCTTTAATCCCAATGCTGGGAAGTTGGAGGCAGAGGCAGAGGCAGGCAGAGCTCTATGAGTTCAAGGCCAGCCTAGTCTATATAGTGCATTCCAGAACAGCCAGAAATATCAATGTAGAGAGAGAGACCCTGTCTCAAAATAAAGCAAAGCAAAACAAAACCAAACAGAGGTTTTCACCTCGTAGGCCAAGGCATCTTCCTGCCTCAACCTCTTGACTGCACACAGGTATATGCAGCACTCGGTCCAACTACTGTCAATACAATGCTACTTCAAAACCTTAAAGCCCAGCTGAAGAAGTGCAGCAGGTGGGAGCACTTAACAACTGAGAACCCAGGTTCGCTTCCCGGCAGCTACATCTGAGGATGACTGACCATAATCAATCATCCTAGCTTTAGGAAATCAGATGCCTTCTAGTATAGGCTGGCACCTACAGATGCATGGCATATACTCACACAAACACGTACATATGAATAAAGAATAAAAATAAATCTTCAAAAAAATTAAAGAACCATTTTAAATAAGAAGTAGAAATGAGACACAGAGAGTATTAATTTTTGAGGCCAAAAAATGTTTAATTTTAACCAAATGAGTCGATCGTTTTTTGCCCATTCAATAGTACTATCATCTATCTATTACAGAATAAAAATAAAAAAATAAAGAGTACAAAGGTGTTTTGGTCTGACTAGCATCATGCAATGGTTTGTTGAGAAACATTGGCAATCCTCACACTACTACTACTACTCAGTATCGGGGAGTGTGTGTGTGTGTGTGTGTGTGTGTGTGTGTGTGTTTGCACACATATGCAGAGGCCGGGGGTCAATCAATGTCTGGTGTCTTACTCTACGGATCTCACTAGTTTCTGACACAGTCCCTCTCACTGAACCTGGAGCTCACTGACCAACAAGCCTTAAGACCCTCCTCACTCCCCAGCGCTAGGGTTATATGCATGGGCCAGAACACCCAGATTTTTATGCAGACACTACAGAACAAAATTCAAGTCCTCATATGCTTTCATGACAAACACTTTACCAACAGAGCTATATCTCTGCTCCCTCCATGATTGGTGACGTTTTGGATTATATTACTTTCCAACCCCCACCCCCCAGACTTTTTTGTTATTGTTTTTCAAGACAGGCTTTCCTCTGTGTCTTTGGCTGTCCTGGAACTCACTCTGTATACGCAGAGATCCTCAAACTGCTAGGATCAAAGGTATTCACCAACATAAGGCCCAATCCCCTTTTTAGGTGCTAATAAATAAAGACTGATCGTGCCAGATATGACGTCACGTAACTGTAGTTTCACTAGCCTGGGAGACAGAGGTAAGAGGACCACTTGAGTTGTGCCAAGTAGAAAGAGCTCATGTCTCAAAATAAATAAAAATTTAAAAACCTTTTGTATTCCAATTAAATAAACTCCTGAGAATTCAAGACAAGAATTTAAGGGAGACTGAAATCCTGCCAATCAGTTTGATCCCAGAATTCACATAAAGGTAAAGGAGAAAACAGACTCCACAAGGTTTCCTCTGACCTCCAAACATAAACCAGGCATGCAAGCTCAAGTGCACTCGCTCTTGCAGACACACACACACATTTTTATTTTAAACATTAAAAAGGAATCCAGATTATCTTCTGAGTGGGAACTGTCAAGGCACATGGCCTCTCCTTCCAAGTGCCAACTCCAGCATCTCCTTCCTGTCCTACTCACTGTTCTCAGCTAACAGAATTCATGCCATTGCAAAGAATCTCCATTTACTAAAATAAGTGTTAGAATGGAAAGAAATCAGTATGATAGCATAAGTCTATAACCTTAGCACCTGGAAGTTGGAGGCAGGAGAGTTGGGAGTTCAAGGTCATCCTCAGCAAACAGCATATTCTGAGATAAGCACAAGCTATATAACACCCTGTTGAGAAAACTAAAATCTACCATTCCTGTAAGACCCTTTAAAACTGTGAGACCTCTGCTCACTGAAGCTTCTCAGGGATAAGAGTATAACTCCACAGGGAGTGTGCTTAGCAGGAGCAACACCTCACAGCACCAGCCTGTGTAACACCAAGAAAAAGCCCCCAAACCCAAACAACCAAATTCCATAGACCCTGAGTTGTCATGAACAAAAATTCTTGCTATAGGCTTGAGACATGTTTTCAACGATGGTATTTCCTTCGACATGATAGGAACCCACCCCCAAACATCTGAAAGGTAAAGATGAGCAAACTGAAGGCTCCAGCTGTACCAGATTCTTCCTTGGTCAAATTGTGAGTCTATCATCTGTCAGTAGGGGGTCAAAGGATTCTTGTTCTTTCCTTTTTTGAGACAAAATCATATCAGTAACCCAGGCTGAGCTACAGCCCAGCCTTGGTGCCGGAACTATAAGCTTTCACCACCACGCCCAGATTTTCTCTCATATCAGCGCCTAAAAGCATATGGACAAATCAATTCACAGGGGCCTGGTAAGTAAGTGCCTATCAGAGAGCAAAGGCTCCCAATGAACGCACACTCTCAGCACCCTTTCTGATCCAAAATGTCCAGGACCCTGCCCACTGCTGTGGCTACAGACTGAGAAAGCAACAGGATCAAGGGCACTTTGTCCATTCAATATTTCTGTCGGGAGCACTTCCTGGACTTTTCATTGGCATTTAATACCAAGGCACAAGACTCATTTTTCATTAAAGTTGCAAGACTTTCACTTTGCCCAGTTTCAAATGGTGTAATTGATCTGCATTGTCTTCTTAAATAACCCAACTGGTGAAGGACACTGCAGCTTTAAATATTTCAGTGCTCGCTAGCAAATAGACTCCATTGCAATATGGCTCTGAAGGTCGTGTCCTATTGTCTCTCTCTTGGAAAAAAAAACCAACCTAAATCCTTTTAAGTGAGAGCATGGGAATAGTACCCCTTGAATTTCCACTCTTCTACTTCAGTTTAGGGTGTTTATTGGAATCTCACACTCGTAATTTTCCTGGCAGGGCAATATGCTGATTATTAGTGATTGCAGTGCCTTAGTGAGAGATAAACACATGTGTTCACATTAGTTTGGTTGAGCATAAGCAACTATTTGAAATAGCACCACTCAAAGGCTGTTAACCGCTTTAAGAGTAAAGCCAGGGTGGTTTGGGCGTGGATGGCTTTCCAGCACCTTGAGCCTAGGATTGCGTAACCTGAAAATGTGAAGCTGCTTAAAATGATAGGAATCTCAGTCTACTTTCTCCTGCACCTGGCTGTTCACATACGGCTTCATTTGTCAAAGGCCAAAATAAGAAGCACCAAGCACGGAGGAGGAGGAGAAGAACTGGAAGAAAAAAAGGCCCTCTTCTACCCGCAAGCAGGCACAATGTTCCCCCAAGCTCATACCCCACCCCCATCCAGATTGAGTGGAATAGTCACAGTGAACCATAAGATTTTAGGGGAGCTGCAATTTGCCATCCCTTCTAAATAACAGCGGGTGGGCCGATGTTTAAAAACCGGAAAGAGGGGGAGAAACGGGTGGGAAGAAGGCGTGTGCAAGAGCACAGGGGCATTACCTGAAAAGGCAACAGATTGTTACCATTATCGGTCCGGAAAGCGTTATCCTCCATCCAGGATTTGGAGGTGAGCGGGGCCGCACGAGGGAACTTGGGTGGCGCGATCACATTGCTGGAGAAGGGCTTTTTGAGCGGCGAGATGGGGTTAAGAGGGGAGGGTACCCCCACACCTACGCCCACGCCCACGCCGACAGCGCGGCGAGGGTCCCGGCCAGCCTGTAGGCCACCCCACGGGTTGGACGGGGCACTCCAGGCGGCGTTCACGCTTTGGTGCGTGTTCCAGCTGGACGAGGCCGAGGAGGCGGCGGCCGCGGCAGCAGCGGCCGCAGCGGCAGAGGACGAGGACGGCTTGCTGGTCATGATGGGTTGGTGGCCGTAGGCGGCGGCGCTCCTCTGCGCATAGGGCGCCTGGCTGGGGCTGGCGGGCGAGCGGCGTTGCTGAGAGGGCTGCGCCTGCGGGGGCTGCGCTGGCTGCGGAGGCTGCGGCGCGGGCGGCGGCGGCTGCTGGTGGTGCTGGGTCTGCGCCAGGCCGATCTGCGGGGAGAAGGTGCCTCCGAAGACCGGGTTGACGTGGTGCGGGAAGTTTTGGAAGAGCATGGTCCCGTTGACCGGGGTGATCCCCTGGAAGAAGCTGTCCTCCACTGCGTTCGTCGTGCCCGTGGACCAGGTGCTGCCAAAGGACGGCGACAGCGACGCTCCGGGCGCCGCGGGCTCCTGCGGCGGCGGCGGCTGCTGAGGAGGCTGATGGAAACTCAAGCCCGGCAGGAGCGGCGACTCCATCTGCATTTTGTCGGGGCCGTTGGGGGCTGGAGGGGCCGAGGCGGGGCTGAGGGCCGGCACTGCGCTACTGTCTTCGGGCTTAGGGGTCTCTGAGGAGAGGGGCGTGGACGGGGCTTCGGCTGCGCCGGGCTCGGGCTGGAGCTGTTGCTGCTGCTGCTGCCGCTGCTGCTGCTGCTGCTGAGACTGTGGCTGGGTTTTGCTTTTGTCCATCAGTAAATCATCCTGCATGGTTTGCGCAGCTGAAACGGGAAGAAAGAGAGATGCGTTATTGTCAGTGTGATCATGAATGCCCTCACTGAAGCGGGCGGGTGTTTTACTTGCGAAAATCCAGTGCCACCGCCACTAGCCAATTGCAACGCAAATCCATAATCTCGCATTTAGAAGAGCAGGTCGGGATGCGGGGCGGGAGGGGGGGTAGATAGGAGGGCTCGAGCAAGGTCTCTAAAAACACTATGAGAGCGTCTTCACCCCTTCTGACGTCTCGGTCCCTTTTCTCTATTAGTGAGAGATGTGCTTATAAGACAGAAAGACAGCAATTTCGCCACGTCTCTTTCCCCTTCACCGGAACTCAGAGCGTTCGCCCTGCGATGAGAAACTGATTCTGGTTCCTGTTTTTTCCCAAGCACCACCCTCCCCCAGTTATTTGCATACGTCAATAAATAGTGCTGCGTCCTTCAGCAAGGTTAAAAAGACGTGGGTACACGACCCTCTCTTTCCCCTTCTCCAGCTGGAGCACTTAAAAAAAAAAAAAAAAAAAAAAAAGGAAGACAGCCGTCTTGATTAGCAAACTGCCTTCTTGCCGCGGACAATTGTTTCATTTGGCTGCAGCGAACCATGAGAGCAAATCTTAGGCATTTGTTGGAAGAAGTCAGCTGCACAATCATCCTCTGGCCTCCCAGTAGCGGCAGCTACTCCATTTTGTTAGGAGACGTTTTAATATAAAAGAAAACCCAGTTTCTAAACAGAGGCAAATCGCCGGGCGTGGTGGCGCATGCTTGTAATCCTAGTACTCTGGAGGTAGAGGCAGAAGGATCAAATATTCAAGGTCAGCTTTGACTTCTTAGCCAGTTCGAGTCCAGCCTGGTATAAATGAAACCTGACTCAAAAAAACAAACAAACAAACAAACCGAAAAGAAAACCTACTGAAACGTTTAGACGTGTTTGCTTCTTATTACTCTAAGGATTGTGGTGTTTCTGCTTATTCTTCAATTTTCTCGTCTCCAATTCTGCCGCCCAAGAGATTTCCTGGCTTCTTGGTGTTTCAAGTCTCAACGGGAGCCTGAGAAATTCTCTGCAGAGTGGAGAAATGCTTCTGGTTGGATTTGAGGTCAGAGGGAGGGAGGTAGAGAGGGAGGAGGGAGGGAGTCTGTGAGATGGAGTGGGGGCGGGACTTTAAAAACGCATCTAAGATTTAAGTAGACAGTCAAGATAATTCTGGGGTTGCCAGATTTTCATTTTTGAATCCTCCTGCTGCTGCCTCAGTCACAAGACTGGCAAATTTAGAATCCATTCTTTTATCACTAGTATTAACAGTGAAAGACTATGGTTTGACGACCCTGAATTACCATATGCTAGCAACCGTTAAAAATAGGAGTACAAAGTCCCAAATTCTCATACATTGTAATTATAGTACATTACCCTCACTGCTTCATTTAGCCATATAAGGAGTGTATGGTATTTTCCACTTCACATAGAAGAGCTATATTCACCTCTGTCATACAACCTGTTTTCTTACTCAAGGATGAAAACAGTAATCACTTTTAGTTAAAAGATTTCTAAGTGTGTAGTTTTCACTGAATTAGGTTGTCTCAGGATATGTTAATTGCCTTACATATCTGAATATCACAGGTCTGAGACCTTGAAAACAAATATTTTGAAATGTTAAAGGAGCTATGACCAAACATATAATTATTTTTAGATGACAGTACAATTGCAAATATGTTATTAATATATTTAATACTGTTAATTAACCCACATACTGGAGAAGCATCTTTCTTGGGACATTTGTAAAAGGGCATAACAGCTCTGCCTTTAGACTATTAAAGATAACAATTTTTAAAATGGAGGTATCATCTCTCTTAACTATTACACAAAAGATACCAGACAAGAAGTTGGAATAACTTCTTTTATTAAAACCATCACTGAAATGCTTAACAGATACATCTTTCATTTCAAAGTTTCGTGTACAAAGAACATAGTGGGTTTGGGGAAACATTTCACTTCTCAATCACATCACTTGCCTTTTTAGTCTTCTCTTCCCTGCCTCTTCCCCTCCCCTAGAAAAAAAACCCAGCCCAGTTTAACATGCACCAGGGATTGCCTGCTACTATCAATAAAGCTTACTTTAGATTGCTTTAATGCTCCCCAGTTCCCTCTACCTAAAACAATGACTTTGATTAGTATTATAAATAGAGCACAGAGAAGAGAGTGAACCTTGTATTCAGACAGCAGAAAGTTCCATCACTGCCAAGGAGGATGGGCACAGAGACATTTTCATACTCCTTACAGTGCTGCAGTAGACCATTATACTTCTGGATGTGAGTGTTTTGGTGAACTAGAATTTTCTTTACAATAGCTATATCATCATGGCTGAAATATGTGTTGGATTATATTTAGTATCACCCAGCTTTTCTTGTTGTTTGTATTCAATCAACAATTTTTGCTAATGCCTTCAGCTTAAACTGCATGCTTTTGGTGGGGGAAAAATGCTGTACTTTACCACCACCACCCCAGCCAGAAAGTAACCTAGACTCAGAATATTTTATAATGGCGTTAATAGTAATACTTCCTCATTAAATTCTCAATGTTATAAGAAAATACTCCCTTTTCCCAATGCTCTTTAAAAATAATACAAATTTCACTTTCTGTATAAATTCACTGTCAAGGTCAAGACCCACCTTTTAATAAATAAGATCTTTTAAACAAAAGCTAAGTTCGTGTTTAAGATAAAATTTACCAAGTCAATATGCAGTATCCTTAAGTAACTGACTGTATAATTTGATTTGGAAGGGTTTTTTTGCTTATATATAGCAAAGTCTGAGAAATAGATGCCTGTTCCCCTCCCCCACCACACACAATAGATCGGCTTTTACATGCGATAACCCAATTTCAAGTAATAAATCCATAGCAGCAGTTACCTTTAAGTGTCCAGTTTTTAAGGATCGATAAAAATTGAAAAGTGAACAGTATTTATTTCTTCTTTCGGGTTGATTATGTGACCGCTCTGGAAAAGCACTTTGACAACTGTAAGAAGAGTGAGCATGCGCACACAGAGAACTGTGGGGGCTGAAGTCCTTCACGAGGTACTCTGCCTGGCTTCAACACGTTCAGCCAGAAAAGGAGGAAGCCTCGTAAATACAGAGTCCAAGGGGGAGAGGTTGTGCCCGGATTATATTATAGCCTCCTAACCAATCTAAATCAAGAGTTGTTGAAATAAAAGAAGGAAAAATAAACTGGGTTGTCAACTTGATTTAGGAAGCAAGACTAAAAGAGAAAGTAGATTGTAGGACTCAGAATAAATAGATCCAGCCAAGCTACCTTAAATGGTATTATGATGGTAATGGCTGGGTAGCCAGCAATAGGAACCCTACTAGAAAGAGATTCGGATGTGGGAGAAAAGGAATAGATGGAGAACTACTACAGAATGATAAACACCTAAAGCCCCACCCCCAGCTGCTTTGTTCTGCTTTGAGACACTGGTCTCTCTATATAGCCCATGCTATCCTGGATCCCTCTGGTCTTGACCCCCAAGGCTGGGGTCATACATATGTACTACCACACCTGATTAAAGAAAACACTTTTAATGCAGGATTTTAAAAGTACCTTAATACTAAATGTGCTACTGACCTTGGAGGTTAAAAATAGGTTTTAATCGCAATGTTTGACATTCTATCTACCAGAACTGACTGAGACAGCATATCCCTAAGTGCCCCCTGGATGACTTGGAACTGGCAAAGTAGATCAAGCAGGCTTCAAAACAGCACCAATTCTCCTATCTTTTCTTCTCCAGTGCTACCACACTCTGCTCAGGGTTTCTTTGTATTTCATTTTTTACTGCATAAGCAAAGCCCTGTTCATAACCCCAGCACTAGTAAGGCTGAGGCAACAACCTGGGCTCTATACACAAAAATGGGCTGGGGAGATGCCTTAGTTGATAAATGAGTAAAGGAGCCTGAGTTAGATCTCCAGAACCCATTAAAAATAAAAAATACAAAAACCTAGGCATGGCAGCATCACACCCTTATAAACCCAAAGCTGGAGATGGGGGAATTGGGGTAGGAACAGGTGGGTCCCTGGGCCTCTATAGCTGGCCAGACTATCCTAATAGGCAAGTCCAATCCAAGCAGAGAGACAGCCTTAAAAAAGGGGAGAAAAAAAAAAAAAAAAAAGTAGAGAGGTTGCAAGGGTGGTAGGTGAATAATAAGGGACTGGGAGATGGATGGGATCGGAATACATGATGTGAAATCTACAATGAATCAATTAAAAGTCTATGGTTATATTATCATGTCTTTGACATCTCTTCTGACCTAAGAAAGCCTAATTAGTACTTGAATGGGAGATTGCCCGAGATAACTAGACACTATACGCTCTTGGCCTCCTCATCTTTCCATTTTGGTCACAGAGGGTCACTGCATCATGCCCTCCCCATCTCCATCTCAGAAAAAAAGCTAGCAGACTGTTCCTGAGGAAGGACACCTGAATTTGACCACTGGCTTCTGCATGTCCTTATTCACACATGCACAGCCCTCCTGTATGTCCTGAGTCAACTCACCTTATTTTTACCTGATAAGGTGAAAGTCTACCTTGCATTATTGATATAGTAGTTAAATAAAAATAAACTCTTTCACTGCAAAATAATATTTGATAATATATATTAATTAGTAAATACCTTAAAAACTTAGGAGCATAACTGCATTGGACAATGACTTCTTTGTTCAACATAAAAAAATATATTCAGAACCGGGTGGTAGTGGTGCATGCCTTTAATCCCAATACTTGGGAGGCAGAGGCAGGTAGAATTCGAGGCCAGCCTGGTCTACCAAGCAAGTTCCAGGACAGCCAGAACTGTTACACAGAGAAACCCTGCCTCAACACACACGCACACGCACACGCACACGCACACACACACACACACACACACACAGAGAGAGAGAGAGAGAGAGAGAGAGAGAGAGAGAGAGAGAGAGAGAGATTCTTCTTGGGGATAATAGTAGGAGATATTTGGTGGTTTTTGGAACAGGAGGTCATTTAGCCCAAGCTATCCTTGAACTTGCTATGTAGCTGAGGATGCTCTTGAATTCCCAATCCTTCTGTCTCTAGCTCCCAAGTGATGGGATTACAGGTACTACCACACACAGCCTTCAATTATGTTTTTTATTATTAAACTTGGTATATGATTGTTCCTACTTATTTGTTTTGTTTTTCAAGATAGGGTTTCTCTGTGATTTTGGAGGCTGTCCTGGAAGTAGCTCTTGTAGACCAGCTTGGTCTCCAACTCAGAGATCCACCTGCCTCTGCCTCCTGAGTGCTGGGAATAAAGGCATGTGTCACCACCATCCATCGATGATTGTCCCTATTTTAACATAACAATTTCAAGCTGAATCTCACAACCTATTGACATCAACTGTCATTATGTATAGCTCCTGAAAGCAGTAATCCAAGAGCTAAGTTTGCTCATGTAGGCA